ATATATATATTTATTAATTGACTAAGATTTAATTAAATGAAGATAATGAACCTGATTAGGTCGTTTTTATATTCAACTATTAACCATTTGACTAAATTAGGTGCCACTCAGGTTAGGCCAGAAATGATTTGTTTATTTGATAATTAAATTAAAAGCCAAAATGTACTTGGAAGTTGGAACAAACCAAATAATAAGGCCAAATGAAAACCATTGACTTGAATCTGTACTAGCTAGCTGCCCCCTAGTTCCATCTCCTGATGTGCGTTTCAAACCCACTAGATTCTGTCTGATTAATATTTGTCGTTTTTTAATTTTTTTTAATTTTTGATTAAGTGCAGGGTATGCTTAATTATCACCATGTTCTTAATTGGCCAGTTGATATTTGCGACTTAGTGTTTCAAAAGCAGAAGAAAGAGATTATCGAAAAAGGTTTCAGGAAAATCTATCAGAGATGGGTTCTGGTTTTTCTTCCTGGTGCTTCACTCTTTGCCTTCTGCTTGCTGCTTTAATGGTAACTTCTTTCTCCTATATGAAACCATTTATGTTAGTAATATCTATGTAACATGAGAAACCTTCTCTGTTACTTCGAAAAATAGAAGGCAATTTTGAAGCTTTTGATTGTTTAATAGCGCCAATTTTCTGAAACTTCTGCATTTCATCTCTTGTTTAATACATGTTGCTAATGGATTTTGATGTCACCAGTGTGCTCAAGACAGTAACGCCAGGAGGGTTACAAAAGGGGAAGGAGATGATAGAAATAAATATGATCCTTTATCAGAAGCAAGTGACGGACACGATCAATGGATCAATGGCGGACATCATGCAAAAACATCCCACGTCGATCATATGGATCCTTCAGTTCATATTTTTTTCACCATAGATAATCTAAAGATTGGAAAATCACTCCCCATATACTTCTCCTACAAAAACTCTACAAAATCTTATCTACTATCCAGAGAAGAAGCCAATTCCATTCCTTTCTCTTCACAAAAATTACCTTATCTTCTTGAATTATTCTCCTTCTCCAAAGACTCTCCGCAAGCCAAAGCCATGGAGTACACACTTGAACATTGTGAACGTGAACCCATCAAAGGAGAGACCAGGTTCTGTGCTACCTCCCTGGAATCGATGCTCGATTCCGCACGTGGCTTCTTCGGATTGGATACCAACTTCAAAATTTTAACCACTTCATCTCTCACAAAGCTAACTCCTTTACAGAACTATACAATCTTGGAAGTGCCGCAAGAAATCTTTGCTCCAAAATTTATAGCATGTCATTCTTTGCCTTACCTTTATGCAGTTTTCTACTGCCATGGACAAGAGAGTAAAAACAGGCTATTCCAGATATCACTGGGTGGTGAAAATGGAGAGAAGGTCGAAGCTGTTGCCGTTTGTCACATGGACACCTCGCTGTGGGATGCCGATCATGTGTCATTTCGTGTGCTCAAAATCAAGCCTGGGGATTCTCCTGTTTGCCATTTCTTTCCTTTAGATAATTTAGTTTGGGTCCCTTTCCCTGCTTAATTTAACCAAGTTCAAATTACTGTATGTGGTACTGTAGTTTGTGTCTACTGCAAATGCTTATCACTGTAATATAATGTTTTCATCAGGTATAAATTGATGTAGTTAGTGTCTACTGCAAACATATATAATTAAATAAAGACCTCTCAGTCAGTGTTTTAATAACCAACTTAGGATAAAACCCAACAAAGTGTTAGGTCTGGGTTGATTGGTTGAGCTGGTTTGACCCACCAGTCAAACCAGTATCCAAAGGTTTGAAATTCAACCAAAATACCTTTGAAAATTAATAAGTCCCTACAGGTTTGAAATCTTACAAAAACACCCCAAATGCCGACATCAACATTCCAGGCCAAATAGGGCCTGTTTCCAATGACAACAACACTCCACATCACCATAAAAACACTCCCCTCAACCTCATGACCAAAACTCATCTTAATCCTCCCTCGTTCGCTCTGCCAATCGCTGGCAACAGATTGCTATTTTGGCTGATTGATTTTGGCCTTTTCTAGTCAATTCACTCACCATAAATCACTCCCCTCACCACCTTTGGACTCACCGGTACTCCCTCTCCAAAAGCCCTAACATAATTATCATTGTATGTTTGCCGATCGCCGTCCATAATTCTAAGGTTTATGGTAAATAGTTGAAAGTGATAACCCGTCTAGCGAAGGCCTCGTGTTCAACCGGGCGGGCTGGGTATCAAAACACTGCTCTCAAGTACTTGAGAAGCAATTAATTCAACATAAATGTACAGCCCAAGGCAAGCAAGAAAAATTATTAAAATGATAATCCCACATGAAATCTTTGCTCTTTTGAACCCTTCTCGATCTGATTATCCTTACCAAAATTACCTTGAGATGCTTCCACATCATCACAGTGCCTTGACTTATCAACATTGCCAAAAGCCTTCTTCTCTTCTTTAGGCTAACTAGCTCCGTTATGTTTATAATAGAAACGACAACAGTATTGTTGTTCTCCTTGCACCTGCATGATTATGAAGGTGGTCTTGAATAACTTGAGTCTTGAGGCATGGACTGTTCTTTCATCACCTCCTTCCAATATTCACCAACCTCTTTTCTCTCCCATCAATGTTTCCTGCAAACTGCCAAAAACACCAAAATTATTCGAGCAATCAAAGTTATAATTAATGACTTAAACATATAATTTCATGTTATTGTTACGATAATGTCTTCTGGGTTTCACTAGAGAGTGGTATTGTTGATGTGGTACCACAAGATAGTGTATATATGACAAGTATCAGTCACAATTAATTTAAACATACAGGGAGAGAGAAAAAATCAAAAGGTGTTATAATTTCATCGGAGAGTAGTATATATACCACAATTGTATTCTAGATTTTTTTCTTATCAGATAATTATGGGAAGAGCGAAATGCAAAGGTAAAGTGATAACTTTAATTTATTATTTTAATTAAAGAAAACCCCTAAAAAATACCAAACAAATTCATTTTATTACTACGATAATGCTTTTTGAGCATTTATGATATTATAGAGTGGATTGTTTGAACATGAAATTTGCTTTGGATGATGCTTGCTCACCAGAAGATGTACACTTTCTACCATTATTGATTTGATTTTGCCACAAAGCTGAAGCGAGGGCCGTCTCAAAACATTTGTGACCTTAAACAAGAGTTACTTTGGGGTCTTCTAATAATATATGCATATATTAAAAAAATTATTTCAAATTTATTTTTCTTACTTTTTAAGATGCAAAATCACTAAGAGAGGTGAACGATGACCGACGGCCTAACAGGGTCAAGTTAGTAGGGGGTTTTGGAGAGCAGATGTTAAAGAAGCGATGGGTGGTGAAATTGGTGATTTCCAATGCCAGGATCGACCAGAAAAAGCTTGAGAAGTCGCGGCCTAAAAGGTATCTGTCGCTGGCGATTGGCAGAGCAAATGGATGAGGTATGATAGAGGTTTGGGTGAGAGGACTGAGTGGAGGAATATGGTGGTATCAGGGAAGGCCAACAACGTCGGGTATATGCCAAAAAGGTCGGAAATGGTTGTCACGCACAATAGATTTAGGTTGCAAGATTCGTAAAAAATTTGTCAAATCGAGAGCTCTCAAGGTTGGGAAAATACTTGGGAAATGATAAAATGATGATTCCGGCCGATTTTGGTGAGAAAATCGATCGGAATCAACTCCAAACAGTCAAAGTGAAAGAGGGGTGGAAATGATTTATATAAATGTCAAATTTTGGGATTGAATTAGAGGTGAGTAATTTGAGACATGTAAATAACTATTTTAACCTTTTATTGTTACAAGAAATTCAATGTGTTAATTTAGGAGTGTAAATTAGAATATATGAAACTAGAGGCACAAATTTTCTCATTCGTCAAACTTTGGGTGGGAATATACGTAAAATGTTTATACTAAATTTTTTTTGGGCCCTTTAGTCAAATATAAGAAATTATATACTATTTCCATTTTTGTAATATATTTAAAAAAATTATAAAAAAATTTGGCCCTTTTTTACTCTATATTTTGGGGGCCTAGGCAGGTGCCTCACATGCCTATCCCACGAACCGACGCTGGCTGAAGCCCATTTAAACACGATGACCGAAAGAGCTGGGCTCCATGAACAGTATTCTTTAACAATGGACCTGAAATTTTTGGACTACACTAATTATATTATCCCCACTGCTCCACATCAATAGACATGAAGCTACTTCATCAATTGAAGAGACAATCCATTGCTTATGCTGGACTTGGACCTCATGAAAAAAAATATTGCTTTTTATGTTCTGACTTTTATAAGCCTGACCTTCTGAGTTCTGATACTATGTACATCCTTCAAGAGCTGAGCTTCAGATAATTGAAGAAGAAGAAGATGGTTGCTGGAAAAATCTCCAATTCGATCCTCCGCTTTTATCTTTTGCTCTTGATGATATGGTAGCTCACATCTCTCAATATTACTTGTTATAATTTATTTATATTGAGAATTACGTATATAAAAATCATGTTAAAATATTAACAAATTGAAAGCTTAGAGTTTTATCTAATCAGATTTCACTCGATGCTTGTGTAAATGCAGCATGGCATTAACGGAGCCAGGGAGATCTTCAACACATCATCATGAAGAGCAAAATATTATGCTGGTTCATGGACATCATAACTCTATGCATGACACTCATCTCATCAGATGGATGCAACAAGCACTCAACACACAGGCTTCTTCAGCATCAATGATCTAGATTTGGGTAAATCAATCCTCATTAATTTCCCCACCAAAACTCCATTCCAGTTCTTGCCTAGAGAAGAGGCTGATCTCATTACTTTCTCATTAAACCATCTCCCAAACATTCTCCAAACTTTCAAAGCCTCCCATGGCTTCCCAAAAGCCAAAACCATTGAAGAGACACTAAGACGTTGTAACTTCGATTCCGCAGAAGAAGAGCTCCTTTTCTGTGCTACTTCCTTAGAATCCATGCTTGATTTTACTCGTACCATGTCGGGGACGACGGATGATGATTTTAGAGCTATAGCCACAATTTATCTCACAAAATCATTAACCGTAAGCAGAACTATACAATCACACAAGTTCCCATGGAAGTTTCAGAGCCAAAAGTGATGGTAGCATGTCACTTGTTGTCGTATCCGTATGCAGTGTTTTTCTGCCATGGCCTAGACAGTGAACATGAGAACAAATTGTTTAAGGTTCCATTAGTTGGTGAAAATGGAGACAGAGTGGAAGGTCTTGCTATTTGCCACTTTGAAACATCTACTTGGGACCCTAATTTCCCAGCATTACGCAAACTTGGCCTCAAACCGGGAGATCCAATATGCCATTTTTTATCTAAAAATAATATCATTTGGGTTCCATCATCTGCCACTACCCAGTAATAAATTGCTCCTATTATAGTGTGGTTTCCCTTGCTGTATTGTGTACCAAATAATAAATCAGCTGTAAAGAATGGCATATGCTATTCTGTGTTTGAATCATTAATTAATGTGAAGATAAATGTTCTTGTAATCGCTAAGTACTCTATTTATAAATGGGGATGAGATCTTTTAACTTAATTTTATGACTTAAATTGTTGACACCAATTTTCAATTGATGATCCCTAACAAACTAATGGTTTAAAAAACAGTGTTGACAATGGAGATAGAGTGAAAGCTCTTGCTATTTGTCACATGAAAACATCTACTTTAGAGTCTGATATCGTAGCATTTCGTTTGCTCGGCCTGAAACCAGGAAATCCAATATGTTACTTTCTACCTCTTGAGCAGGGATATAGCCACACTATAATATATAGATTCAACTGAACCCACTCAAACTTTAAAAAAAAATGAAAAAAAGACTTTAATTTATAATGTTAACAATTTGACTCATTTAATTTTAATGAAAAAATGTGTATTAATAAAAAATTAAAAAAAAAAAAAAGCTTTACTTATTTATGTTAAACCTACTCAATAAAAGTCTGGCTACGTCTCTGTGCTGCTGATATCTCGTTTGGGTCCATATCTGCTATCCACTTTAAATTGCTCCTGTTTTTCTACATGAATATTGTGGTTAATTTGGCTTGCAATTGACTAGGTGGTTTTCATGTGTTCTATCTAGTATGAATTAACGGTGGGATATGCCTACATAAGACATGTCGGAGCTTGTGTACTAAAAAATAATAAATCAATGAACAATAATAATTTGGAGTGCATATAATCCTTGTAATCTCATATCATTGCTTGCAATAATATGATAATATACAATAGGAGTTCCCTATTTGTCATTTCTTCTTAAAGATAATTTTGTTTTTTGTTTTTTTCTTTTTTGGTGATTAGGTGGCTTGCACGCATCTCGGCTAATCTCAAGACCCTAAAGTAATATAGTAACCACCCTTATTAACCACCGAAGGAAATTGAATTTAAGACTTCTTGAATAATACACTCAAAGATCTCTATCATCACCTGACGACCACCAAGGAGTGGTTCAGATAACTTTGTTTTGTTATCTTTGAGTTGCTCGCTTTATCTTATAGTTAGTATTCTGTGGTGTA